GTTTCTTTTTGATGGAACATAGGTAATTGTTGATCCGAAGATTAAGTGGTTTTCTGGTCTCCCCCATATATTGACACTTGACACACGTAATCAAGTATATTACATTGGCCGATGTGCAGGATACCGACTGGAGGATGTGGTAGTTCTGACCCGTTGACCTCCCCATTGAATGAGCTGGTGTTGTGAGTACACGCACAAAGCTTGCACTCAGTACTGTTGCCTCAGTACAATGGAAATATTTGTTTCCCGTTGTCGTTTTAGTGTCAACCTAAAGCAAAGCATGTTTATATATATATAGTGGATAATGTTCTCCGCCAACTTGTACAAATTTTTGTTATAATATGTATGTATTAGATACGAAATCCTACATGCTGTTGTGTACGAAATATAGTGAATTGAATTGAAATAGAAATATTAGTCATTTTTATGTCTTCACAAAGTGACGGATTGTCTCAAAAATTTGACAATCACTTGCCCGTGCTGTCGTTATTACTATTAAATTATACGTATAGAGTACTCTTAAAAGGAGGGAAGATGATAGAAGGAACAGCCGGAGTTTAAACATATTGTCCGTACAATATCGATACGTGCTGTCCGATTTCACGCTTTCTGGTTTCATTCAAAAGAGAATATTGCTACCTACGGAAAGATAGCAATCTGACATCTACAATAAACAAACAGCATTGCCTACTTCCGTTTTACTGACAGTGACGATGATTTTATCACGGGAACAGCTGGCCATTGAAGAATACGAGGAAAACTAAACCGTCACAAGAAACTGAAATTTGTACCAAGTGTGCTCTGTTTATGAAGTTATTGAGGGAGTTGGGGTATAGAATGACAATGCTCAGGTCCTTGTAATCGCTAATACCACAACACATCACACTGTAGTTCAATGCGTTTTATTTATAAGCACATCTTTTAAATTGAACTTGATGAGGAAGATGACATTTTTGTGATAGTTACCTGACACTTGTCTGGGAATTATTGTGTTACTAATTAACGTGTGAATCACTATCTTACGGATACCATACTTGGAGATTGTCGAGTTTTTATGAGTGTTTTGGTTACAGTAGGATATATAATGGACGCAAGCATTGTTATGTCGCTTTCTATAATTATACATTAAATGAAATAAACGGTAGGCTGTTCCACACATCGACAGTTCTGGGTCCAAAAGAGAATTTGCAGATATCCAGTCTGTAGTATTTTTTCTATATCTTTTATGATTTACCTCTCGTCCTGGTTCCTATGATGGTGAAATATCCCTTTTTAAGCCTCTGTATGTGAGTATTAGGATTTTTGAGTTCCCGGGTATCTTAATTATGCACACGTGCTTGACATTCACCATAACGGCAGAATTATGTGGAGTCCTTGTGACCTCTTTATTTGAACGTAAAATCTTGTTTTTAATATATTTAGATCGTTAAATTCCTTCCCCCGGGATGTTTGGGTGCACGCTACAGCCACAACGACACCTGGACTTATTGGAGGGAGTATGTACGTGTGTTAAGTGAACGGTGCTATTCACATATGTATTTGGTACACTCCTCTTGCTCAGGACTGTTTAAATGAATATAATGTGACTTTGTGTTTCTTCACTACATTACAATGTAATGTGATACTGAAGTGATTATTTTGGTATGCGTACACAGAACCTGACGGCACATACAACACAACAGCTGGAATAGACTATTCTGAGTTAGCAAAATTATGCAAGTCATTTGAGTTTATATGACTTAAATCGAATTGTTATATTGGCATAAATATTTCAAAACAAATCCTATTTAAACAGTTGAAAATCATACTTTATGTACGAAAGTCTTAAGATCTTGGATAAAAAAATGAAATAAAATTTGTACACCAACATTGCCCTCGTGTTTCAATACGACACACTGACTTGTATTCATCCTCAGATCTCACGTGACGTTTAACAGTTTGTATATAAACCATTCATTATAGGAATTATCACCTCGCAATAAACGGGTTTTTTTCTCAAGATGACCTTGTTTGTACTTGTCCGTGTCATATTACGTTTAACTGTAGATATTTTCTATACAGCCAGATTGCTTAGCTGTCGGCAACTCGGTGGTATTGTAAGACCTCTTTAGTCTGGTGTATAGGTTTACATATACATACGTTTTGGGGAATTCGTTATTCGGACGGTTTAATTTGAGAGGTTCATGTTTACATCTCCAGACAATTCGATTCATACATATATAATCAGTGAGACCTCATTGGTCTGGACAAAAGTGGAGCTCCATTATTCCAGACAATATTCATGCATAAATCCAGGGGATCTCATTAGTCTGAGGGCAAAACTCCATTCGTAAAGTCATTGATTCAACACAAGTCAGTTGGTCCTCATTAGTGCCGACAATATAGTTTAAACATAGCCAGTAGCCAGTTGGGGCACAAACATATAGTCATTCGGGTTACATTAGTCCGGACATTGGGGCTCCAACATGCAGCCACTCGGGTTACATTAGTCCGGACATTGGGGCTCCAACATGCAGCCACTCTAGTTACATTAGTCCGGACATTGGGGCTCAAAAATGCAGTGATTCGGGTTACATTATTCCGGACATTGGGGCATACAGTCATTCGGGTTACATTATTCGGGACACTATTATTTATCCAGACATGATGCTTCCATCATGCAGTCTGTGGAACCACATTAGTCCGGACATTGGAGCTCTATCATACAGCCACTCGGGTTACATTAGTCCGGACATTGGAGCTCTAGCATACAGCCACTCGGGTTACATTAGTCCGGACATTGGAGCTCTAGCATACAGCCATTCGGGTTACATTAATCCGGACATTGGAGCTCTAGCATACAGCCACTCGGGTTACATTAATCCGGACACGAGGGTTCAAACATGCAGTTAGTGGAGCGGTTTTAGTCCGGACATTGGAGCTCTAACACACAGCCATTCGGGTTACATTGGTGCGGACATTTTGGTTCATATACCAAGCAAATAGGTCATCCATGCTACGGACACGTTTGTTTATAAGCACAGTGAATGCTGTTCCGTTAGTGCGGGCATTTTGGTTCATCTTTACATGAAAATGTCCAGCCCGGACTAACGAAACCAAACTTCATATTCAATTTGGTCTTTTTCATGTATACTTTTTGTGAATAGTTGCAGTATTAATACTGTAAACAAACTACATCTGCCGAATCGTGTGACTGGGTTAGGATTATGAATGGATTTTGGCATACATTTTTGAGACGACCCCTATTTGGTATTATGTGAGTAAACTTACTACTGCACGTATGGACGTATCCTAGTCTGTTAAAGGGTTATTGTGCGTTATTATTACTGATTATGAATATTAATCCACCCTTTTAAAATTTCTAATGAGCTTCTATACAGACCAGGTTAGGCCATTTAGACTATAACAAATTTACGAGTTCCTGTGTTTCTGCTTATTAACGAGAGTGAGGGTCTATGATTTCTACACAGTACATTTAATCGTAATTAATTTGATCATTTAATTAGAGACTATCACTTCATACGCTCAACAATGTGAAGTTATAACACTGAATTCGCTTTTTCATTGACTACAATTGAAGAGTGCGAGGGTAGGGGTAATAGGGTTTGGCACAGGAGTTCAATCATACAGCTTCATAAGTATTGCGACACTTTCTTCCTGGAAGATGTAAGAAATTTAATTTTTGCCTTACTGAAACATAATTTCGACCTTATTCCATTATACCAAATGTACTAATATATCACCTTTATCTTCCTCGGTGAACGTAACGCGGATTTTTTTTATTCTTTCTTTTTTGTAATAATTTTTGGAGGTGGAAGAGTGGGTGGGTAGCACTGGCGGAGGCAAGGGGGGCAACTCCCCCACCTCCCACCCCCAATTGTCCCAGAGGTGACTTTTGTGAAACGTGTAAATCCGTTGAGTTATTTAGGGGGGGTTCCATTTTTCAGTTTTCTGCATCTATATTTCACTGATTTTATCGATTCTACTTGCATTCTGTCGAGCAGTAGTCTATGCTGATATTTGATGTTTATGTATGTTGTCATTTACTGATATTTCTTATTGATTGTTATGTACATGTAGTCCGACATTATTTTGTTTCCATTTGTATCTTTTCTAACTTTGATTTATTTCAATACATTATATCGACTTATCCCAGTATTATTGTGTCGTTATTTTCCTTCAAAATACGCTCAAAATGCAGGAAATGGAGCCAAAATTTTCAAAATTTTCTAGGGGAGGGCCCCAGACCCCTCGCCAAAGCCTCGCGCCGCCGGCGTTGCCAGGTTTTTGCCCCTCTCCCGACCCCAACTTTAGATCCTGGCTACGCCACTGGTGGGGAGTGGCACATTGGGCGTGATCATATAAGAAGATTGGGTGGCGGGTCCTGGGATGAGGGGGCCGTTCCACGACTAATTAATTTCACACCGGAAAATATGTACTATTGATTTCACGCCGTCTGTACTAAAGTTAAACAATGTTAGGCTTTGTGATCAGGTACCCGAATAGCAACGATTACGTGTTATATTATTCATGATATTGTGTAGAAACTGTATTATAGTGCATGGCGGTTATCATGTTTGTTTATAATTTCTTATCGAAGGAAGTTCAAATGTTTAAAATACAAAATTAACCTTACCTAAAGATTCACAAAGAAGATTCCGAAGTAAACATATCTCGGTTATCTTCTTATTCTATCAATAGCCAGTTACTTGTTGTATTTCTCGATTTCAACTTGTCACGAAACAATCGTTTTAATTGACTAGATCCCAAGCGAGAAAGCCGTGTTGTTTTTCACAGCGTGGATCCACGGGAAAGCGTGCAGGTATAGGACGAAGGAGGCCTGCTCCTTCAAAACAGGTTTTTAAAGCATTCGTCGCGCCTGAGTGCTTCTTTATAAAACATTGTTCAAGTTCGGCTTTATTCGTCCTAATTCGGACACGCTGAAACGAGGTAGGGAAGTATATAATTGTTGGCAGACTTCTTCAGTCAGAAGAACACAGCTCTTGGAGGTGAGCGGATTACGAACTTGTTCCTAAAAGACGGCTTGACTGCAAGGTAAGAATCGCTACATACGCATTGTATTTAGATAATGTTTGTACCTGTAGCTACCTGTTGTGTAACTGTATGCAAGAATAATAAACATGTAACGTTGTATTCAGAAACATTGGATACATACTCTTTAGTATGTCAGGTCGTTCCTAACAATACTGGCCCGGTTTGATACAAATACATTTATGTAGTAATTAATACTTTGGAATAAATACATATTTACAACATCTTTCATTACAGAAAACCCCATTTTTGTTGGGACTACCCAGAGTTTTGATAGCGGAGCGAGTTCGTTCTCGAGTTTCAATACAAGGGTGTGGCCAGTTACGGGTGTATTTTCACACGGTGTGTAACAACATGGCAATGCAGCCATCATCCGAACAGAAAAACGACCACCGCATGGACGTTCTTGAAAAAAGAACGGACATGATCCAAAAATACCTGGAAAGAAAGGTAGTTATCTCTTCATGCATATATATTGAAGTAACTTTGAACTTTTATCTGTATTCTGTACAGCTATTAAATACGGTGCTTACTGTTTTAGTAGCAAGTACAAGTATTTCTTATATAGTATGTGAGGCCAATATTGTATAAAACGACCCTTTTCGAAACTTGTCCGGAATGACAGCAGGGACGCCATACTAAAGTTGCACCAGTTCAATCTAGAAAAATATTGTAGGGTTTTTACAAGATATGAAAGGTTAGTAAGAAATGCAACAGGAATTTCTCCCCGTCTGTACCCCTAAAAAGCTGTACGAAAATTAGGACCATTATTTTTGACATTTGAACTCTCCAATTTCATAAGACGACAAATTAACAAAAGCTGATGCTGATCACGTTGATTACAAGGTTAAACCCAAGGGTGTTTAACCTTGGAATTATGCATCCTCGGTACCCTCGGTCTACGATAACTTTACGAAAATGAACGTAACTTCTGGAGTATTGAGGATAGGGGTATCCACTGACAGTGTTAAGTAAAGATTTGTTAGGGAATATAAGTAAAATATGTTGGTGCCCTTGTTGACCAGCTTTGCAATTTAACATTATCAGATTATCAGCTGTTATTTGCAGAAGGTGAACTATTGATATCGGATTAAATGTTCGTTGTACAAAATAAGATTTTATTGTAGTTACACTTTGTGATGTTGGGTTGACCATACTTTATAATGTTGACCTGTCTGGAAGCCATTAGCAGGAAGGGAACAGGCTTGGTAATTTTTACAGCAGTACAAAATCACATTCAACAATATTCTATTTCTAAAGAAATAGTATCTCATCCTTTCTCAATATTTGAAGCTTTTCTTAAAACTGTACTTAATAGCATATTCTTGTACTCCTATTCCTGCAAGTAAAACAGTTACACAGTTTTTAGAGAAAGAGAAATGGGGCTAGGAAGACGGGATACAAGTGCCTAAGGAATAAGTGTCAGACTTTTCATAGATCAGGGTTGGGAAGAGGTGTTCATTGAGATCAGAACATTTTTTTTTGAAATTTCAGAATCTGTTGGAATATTGATTTGGGTTGGATCAGTAGAAACTTTATTTGGATGGTGAGGAGTTCCTAGTTAAACACATTGATTTTCAAATTTCTGAATTATGGGTGAAAGAATTCTACATTTAGTAGAATGTATATTAGGGAGGACTGATCCTTTCACTTTTTTCTCTGGTGATCCAGGTGTTTGGTAGTCACGACTGGACTCTGTTGAGTAATTGGGTGGGGACTGATCCAGATAATATAGACTATTATAGACTTTTAGAAATTAAATTCCCTCCGTCAATAGTCGCTTTATCAGACTATTTAATTGGAATGAGTCATCAGAATCTAAGGAAAAATGGTTGTTTTAAAATGGAGCACTTTGACAAATTTGGAAAGGAAAAGTTGTCACAAGAGGTAATGATGATTTTAGTGGTAAAATTGAAGTGTTGGGAGTTTGGACAGGTACCTGTTTTCCATTTTTTTTTTTAAAAAGGCTTCAACAATGCCCCAAATCATTCTCAAGCAAATGTCAATCCAGGAGTGCAAGTTCAAGACCCGACAATACTGACTATACCCTGGTATATTCCTGTTAATGAGATTTAGAATATCAAAATTATCATTACAACCCTCCCCTATATCTTCCTCTTCCAACCACAAAATCCCCAACCCAACCCCATTCTTGTTCGATAGGTTTAAAAATGTGATATGTTGTAATTGTTATTATTGATGTAAAATGGCGGAATAGTTGGGATCATGGGGTAGGTACAAATGGCTGGTACGCGATTCATCAAGATGGAATTTAGGCATAGGTAGTTTAAAGAAATCAGGAGTATTTTTTATAGTTCAGTAAATACATGTTCATTTTATGAACTTCGAGTTGCTGTATCACATTAAATCTTGGACAATCATTATACATTGACATCTTCCTGAGCACAGTTAAGGTGTATTAATACTGGTAATGAAGTCTAACCACCTCCTTTCATCCAAGTAGTTTCCACCGCTTATCCACACTTTATACAAACACTCCTGTTCCACTCCGATGCTTGTCCTGAATATTGGTTCAATACACAGGACAAGCATCAGAGTGGAACAGATCTCCTAAAATAACTTTTATCATGTTGGCCCTAAGGTTTTTGATATGAAAGTGTTGTCAGCTTAACCAGAAGTATAAAAGATTTGTCTTGAAATATGATTTACCATGTCAGAATAATCTTTTTATTGCATGTCTAATATGTTGGTTTTTTCATACTTAAAATCTATCTTGTGTGGAAAAGTTCACTTTTCCTCAGTTTAACTTTTAATGTTTCGATCAAAGTTGATCTGGAATTGTTGACAAACAAGAGTTAAATGTAGACAATAAGTAACACATGGGTAGAGTCGTATGGGATTGAAGGTTTAATGTGACTGATCAGGACTTATATTTATTGGTGAATTTAAATTCATGCTGACAAGTCCACACCAATCATAAATGGCAATTTCATATACATGTATGAGTCATTTTATACAAGAGGCTAAATTTGAGTAATTTCCCAGTACCCCAAACCTAGTTTCATGATACATATGTGCTCTATTACCTTGTGTGAACAGGTTACTATTCAATAGCTTTCACCACAATGGGTTATAAAGGCGGTTTCAGACATGTATGCAGATTGATTTTGCTTAGACCTTTTATATTTAGGGTTATTTTTTGCACATTTCAGTTGTCATGCTGATTATACCAATGTTTTTTAGATCATGCAATGAAGTCTTCCATATAAAACCTGCTTTACACATTGATGTGAATTTCCCCAGATCATTACCAGTAACTATAACCAGATGGTCGCTTATTAAAAATGTGGGCTTTCCTCAATTTAGCTATTTCTCTTCATTGGATTGTTTCGAAACCATAACTTATGTTTTATTTACGTATGCAAATTCTTTGCAGTTTCGTATACCAATGTTGTACAAATTGATTTTACTGGTTAACGTGCCCCAACAAGACTTCACATAATGTATTCACTAACAGGACTGTCAAGTGAAAGATATCATTAAAAGGAAAAATTCTCTTCTGAAACTGCTATGGGGTCAGATTCTTCAGAAATCTAGTTTTATGACAAGTGTGTGTAATATTAAGTAATGGTTATAACAGGTATGTTTACATTTTGCTTAAGGCTATTCAGTGTGATCAGGAAGTAAGATGTGCCAAGTTAGGTTGTACATGTACAATCTATTATGCTATTGGCATTCTATTAAAAAAAATGTTGAGTTTTCTGATGCATGTAATGTTATGAATTTGATGTTTTTAGTCATCTTTTTTACAGAAAGGAGGCAAATTGGTGAATATTTTTACATTATCTAACATTTCAGATGTGTGCTTTCTTTAATAAAACCATATTCTGTTAAAAGAATTAAATCAACATTACCATTCAAGATACAGGACTTGGATGTAAGTTAGTATCCAATGTTATAAAGGTGACAATTACCTATAACAAAACCATCGCTTGCATTCGAAGTTAGATGACCATAAATCCCCTAGTTTAGTATCGTGCAAAATTCTTGATACATGAAGGTGTTTTTATTTATATTTGAAGCAGTTTTCCTGTAACAGTACCCTGGTAACCCATCCAGGTTCTATGTATATAATCAGACAGTAATAATTTAGGAACTCTTTGACTCTTTTGAGCATTTAATTCGTTTTATGAAGACTGTTACAGTATGATATAATAGGATTATTTATGTGGGTGTATAACGTGTATAATGAATGTAACATAGAAAAGAATTGATTTTTTAAGTTCCCATTCATGGAAAATCTACCATCTTTCACAATTCTACATAAAATATTTGTATTCCACCAGATGTTATAATGCACAGTATTCACATCAAGTTTGTGAAATTTGGAGAAATTGAAAACGGGATGGTAGTTTACCATTATATAGTTTATATGCATATGTAGACCTTCAGACACACCTGCTGAAAATGCAGGGTTATATAATTACCTGGTGTGTATTATAAGGAATATTGTGCGCTTAGTTTTTGATGGTATCTTGAAATGTTTAAACATAATGGTAATTGAAAGTCATCATTCAAACATTTAGGGTCTGTGTGACAAGCTCTTAAATATTTCATCTACTAAATGCTTTGAAGACGATAATATGTTGCATTACACTTCAGCAGTTTGATAATGATACTGCTTATGTCATCTTGCCTTCACATTCCAAATATTGACAGAATTTGAATTAACATTTCTTTTTCTAGCTGTTTCGTAAATGTTTTGAAAATGAGTATAAACAGGTCAACTTCCTGCTCTTCAATATCTTATTCTTTGGGATATAAAGAATTGTCAAGTTCTTTTCTACTTTGACATTCAATATGATGTCATGTGTATTTGTGGGAATGAATGTAACTTATAGGGTGTTGCTATAGTAACTGGTACTTGTAGTTACTGCTTTACTCAGTCGACCTTAAAAGGAAAGCGTGGGAAACTCTCACATAACTGGTAAATTATGTACCAGGTATGTGGCTATCCTGTCCATGAAAAGCCACAGTAGGTAATGTTAGGGTACGTTTTACCTGACGACCAACTGAGAACCTTGAACTGATATTTAAGGTTTTAATTTCTACTGTCATCTGATGCAACATTCATGAATACCAGAATGTGAGAATTTTGTCAATTCCAACGTATAATAAGAAAGCTTAAAATAGCATTTATGACCAGAGGATGAAATTAAAGTGTAAGTACGGAATTAATATTATATTGATTATTGGGTGGTCGGGTGGCGCAGTGGTAATGCACTCGCCTTTCACCTAGCTGTTCGGGGTTTGATTCTGGGAATGGATGTGAAAAGGTATGGGGTCACCTGCCTGACCATGTGGGTTTTCCCCGGGTACCCCAGTTTCCTCCCATAGTTAGACCTCTCTCGCACTTCCATCCGAGCCTACAGGAGTGATTAATATTAGTTGGAAAAAGTTGCTTCGATTGTTGTAAAATAAATTAAAGTTTATTATTATTGATTTCATTTTAGTATACTGTACTGAAGTCAAAGTGCTTCATCTTTTGACATTTGTGAAATAGTCATATGGATGTACACTATAGCTACAGTATGGGAGATGCTTCTAACAGTTTTAGGTAGATCAGATTGGTCAGTTTGATGTGCAAGTAAAATGAATTTGCAGAGTAAATCGGTTGATGCTGTTTGAGGACAAACATTAACCAGAACAAGTACAAGTAACCTGAAATGCACTTCAGAATTCAGTTGTGAAGATTGTAAAAGAGACAAGTGAATACCACTTACTACAACTTTTGAAATATTCAATTGTCTTTTTTAGTCTTTTCAGTCTAGCTCCTTCAAAATTGATACACCTTTGTCGCATGACTTAACTTTCAAATGCCTAGCCCACTCCCTCAATCATGAATGTCTATGTATATAAACTTGCATTCTTTAAGACTAGGGATCAGATTTCTTGTGGCTGAAGGTTCAGTGTTACTTGTAAAATTCGTAATGCTGATCATGCTGATACACCTCCATAAAATTGCCATCAAACAATGGTGTATTTTTTTTTAAGTAAATGAAAGAGTGGGCTTGTGATAATGCTGTCTCAACAATTTAAATTGAATTCGGACAGCTTGTCATATTGTTTGGCTGATGGTAGTGTACACACGCTAATTGACAACTCTTCTGTAGAATCTATTTAACATTGAAAAGTCTGTTTGCAGGACTTTTGTAACTGAAACAAGCTTAAAGGTAACTCACAGGTCATTACTAATATGAAAAATATAAAATTCTTGTTTTTGCATACGAAAAACCTTTTTGATGTTAATGTCAATATGGATTTTTATCCATCGAATATGAAGTGTTCCTGTCCTATCACAGGTCAAATTGTAGATATTGGTCTTCCAACATGTTTTTTATATTTATCATGTTAAGTATTATTAATAATCTGAGGTTCTGATTGTACAGGAGTCTGGACTAGGTATTCACATCTACAATAATTTGTATCAATGCTTGTTTAATAAAATCTCATTCATTTACAATCTTTGAAAGATTGTATTAGGATAAATAAAAATCGAGTGCAATTTGCATTTTTATGAATGTTTGCATTAAATGCTATTATGCAATGATATGGTCTTGGCATTTAGTGTATAGATGGGAATATTTGGGATTCCCATATTAGCATGCTGTGTGTTGATGAAAATGGTAGAGAATGTGGATACAGTAATTAAAACAAAGTTGCTGGGATTCATTTCTATACTTAGTACATTCATTAGTATAAAGCTGGCAGCAAGTTATATATTACTGTGGTAGATTTAAATTGAATTCACAAAGGTGTGACCAAAGAATGATGTATACTGTTTCATGAACATCAGTCAAAATATAGGCGATTAGTGAAGCATGAAGGTTATATTAGAACATAAGTTTGAAGGTTAGAATATGTAAATAGTGAAAAGAACTTGTGGAATTCAAGTGTTCACCACGTGCAAGCCGTGTGTGTGTTGAAAACAAGGTGTCAGATTTTTATGGATGTATTATCTAATAAAACCCAGGTAAAGTGATACTCAACAATTCTGAAAACACTGCGACAATAAACAGTAAAAAGTCCTGACTATATTGTGTATGACGGGTGTATACTCGTAGCAAAGCATTATGGGAAGGATGGTGAAATCTTCTACAATAAGGGGGTTGTTGGCTAACCACAGAATAATGAAATAAGTTTGGGTTTATATATCATACTGGCCTGTATTACTATATATGGGTGGGCTTATTGAGTATGGACTGCCACTTGTCGCTAGATAAATAAGGTATTATATATACAATTTCTACATTAAAACATCACAAATTGCTTCTCACAACATGACAAATCTTATTTAAATTTCTATGAATATTTAATTTCCAAGTATTTTCATCCGACCATTAGATGGTTGTCTTAAATTGCCTTTTGTCCATGGTCCATTGTCTGTCCATATAATACTTGTTGCTATTGGAAATATTGGGGATATTTCTCAAACTTCATATGAAAGTTCACCAATTACCTTAGTTATGCCCATTCATTTTTGAGTCCTATGAGTGAAAGGAATGGCCAACAGATGGGGGCCATCTTGATTTCTGGTGTACTGAAACTAGACTAGAACTTGATGTAGCATGTTCCCCATGGCGTCCTATGTGGTTTTTTTCCCAAACATTGTAGATTTCTTTAAGGTTATATAAAACCATGAATTCACAAGTGATGCTACCATCCATAACTTGAGTGTATTGGCCTATAGATTTTTTAAAATGCAAGGTGAAGAGTCATGTTACCATCTTGAATGTAAGATAGATCTTAAACCCAGTATAATAGAGGAATACCTCTATACCTTAGATAATAGTGTAAAGCCCTTTACTATAACACTTCAACCTTGGCCTACTACAAAGCCAAATGTCAGGCATTAAGTAAACAGGAAAGCATGCTGTAGACATGCACTATATATTGTCTGGATTGGCTTTTTTCTTTATAAATAATTGAGTGACAAAACTTATCAAAAATGTATAAGCACAAGATGAAATGCTGCATCAAGAATTGCTGTTAACATGTATCCTGACAAATAACTAATTAGATGTAGCGACATATTACCAGGTTTGTAAAAAATTCTCTACATTTACTACCAAATAACCATTTATCAGAATTGTGAACATTGCAAACAATAATATGCAATGTAATACAAAGTATCAATATTTGGTTGATATCATTTTGGTAAATATTTGTTAAAATATGAGCCTGTCATTTTAGTGTTTGCTATTTTCAGCATATTCCGAAATCTTTTTTTATATTATTTTTTATGCAACTAGATACACAAGTTTTAGACCATAAGTGTTGTATCATTCAAGAAAGTAGTGGTAGTTTTATTTTAAGTAAAGCATATTCATAAACTTTTCAAAATTAACCAACCGTGACTGTAGGTGATCTTGACAAAGGTTGTTGACTTTGTCTCGGAAATCATTACATACATCCCATTTTGTGCTGTGTACTGCTAACAAGTCGGGGTGACCCATTCAGATGTTCTGGCTTTTGTCCTATACAATGAATCATGCAAGCGCTGAATAGGAAATATTTCTAGAATGTTAAACAACTTGTTCACATTGTACCGAGTGTTTGGTCTATACCTGAAGTGTAAACAATTTCAGATGTACAATTGATCATTAAAATTAAATATGACCCTTTAATTAAATAGTTTGGGTGTCTTGCCTGCCCAGTGACCTAGTCTTCTAGCAGTACATTACAATAAATGGTAGAAAAGTATTCTAGAATTTGTTTTCTTAATTGAAATGCAAATCTAACAAGCATGATTATATCAAAGTATGCATTTATAATTGAAGTTTATAAATTCACTAAACAATTACTGGTTGCAAAAATTTGAAAATACCCCAGGTAATGATTTAAGTGTTGGAAGCTGCAAATCGCACTAAAATTGAAAACATTTAAGATATGCATATGAATATGAAAGATTAGATTGAGAGATGAGATGAAATGGAATATTTTGTTTTACAGGGTAAACGTTTAGATGATGAGGATGGAGATGAAAATAAGGAGAGAGGAAACTGGAGTGGACGTTTCGATTTCTTCCTTTCATGTCTGGGATATGCTGTGGGTCTTGGAAATGTTTGGCGTTTCCCCTATCTGTGCTACAGGAATGGAGGAGGTAATTTTCTTGGCAAATTGCATTTATGAACTTGAAATATTTTTATCTTAACCTCATGAAAAATAGGATTAACATGTAAAATTGACAGGGTCCAAAGGTATATAGATTAACGACAAAGTTAAGGTAAAGACCCAAGGTGATTAGCATTAATAACGGCAAAATATGAATGATTTCAGACGTTTGGAGACAAAAAATCATGAATATATTTCTAAGATGGAAAGGCATGCCAGATTTCATATATTTAGTTCCCAAAATAAAGCAGTTTTTTAAAAGTTTAGTCTTATTTTTTCAGGTGCTTTCCTGATCCCATATGTTATTATGTTGGCAATCGTGGGAGTTCCAATCTTCCTGTTAGAGTTGTCCCTCGGACAGTTTGCAAGTGCTGGACCTGTGACATGCTGGAAATATGCACCACTCTTTACCGGTATGGAAACCTTGATCACATTGCATTCAATTTAGATCTGAAGTGAGTTGACTGTTGTTATGTAGGGATAGTTACCAGTGTAGCTTTCTACACAAGTGTCATAATTATTACAGAAATTCTCTTGAATTTATTTTGAATGTTTACCAATGCGAACATGAAGGAAAAGTTAAAATTGCTTGTACATGTCATCAATACTCAGATTTCAACAAAAAACTTTGCAGGTGTCGGATATGGAATGTTCATCGTATCCGCTTTGGTCTCCATCTACTACAACATGATCATTGGCTGGGCTTGTTACTACTTGTTTGCATCATTCACCTCCGTGCTACCCTGGGACAAGTGTGGATCCTGGAGTACAAACCGTATGTATGATGCATATCCTGACTTCTATTGTCTTCATCACATATCTTACCAACTCCGAATCTTTTTTACAAGATAATAATGTTAAGCTGTGAAAATTCCTGTCTTTATCTGGCTTTTTATTACCCACTTCTAACTCATTTCTGCCTTTTGAAAGGATTGATCTTTATAAAACATGGTTGTCCCCTACTTAAAGCTGTGATGGGATGGAGAGGAGTTTCCCTTGGTTTATCTGTAATGCTAAGAACATCATGGTGTTTTCAATGTTGTGATCCATAAATATTTTCGCTTGCAGTTTGCTTTGACAAAGTCCACATCCTGAACGTAACAGCAGGTGATACGTGTGCTTTGGCTGGTGCCAGAACCAAGAACGCGACTTGGTACAGCAACACAAACTGGGGAACTTGTCATAATGCTCAGCCATTTGAAAAGTCCAATGTAGTTGGCTTCATCAACAAGACACTGGCTAATGAGTTTGGCATCAAGCGAGAACTGCCATCACAGGAATATTTTGAGTAAGTTTTTACTGTAATTTCCATAATGCCCAATTTGTTGGTGATAAAATTTGAATGGCCAATGAAAAGATTTTTTTCAAAACAGTACAACAAATTACTAAGATCCACAATTTTAATTTTTTTGGTATATATGGCCCGGATAACTAAGTGGCGCCTGAGACCTTAAATGACCTTAACACTTTCAAAATATAGCACGCAAAACATTAAGTTTTAAATTTCAATTGGATGGTGTTGCAAATCCTAGTGCAGATAACAGATTTAATCAGTAATTCATCTCTATTTTATGTAAAAATCACTGATATCTTTAAAATTTCTATAAATTTTGAAAGTTGGGTTATCCCCTCAGTTAACTGACAAACCATCATGTCGGATACTAGATTGAATACAATACAGTAGAAACATAAACATTTTACATAATTGTATCAACATTCCCTGATATCGCATGAACAAGGGAGAATGTAATTAAACTTTCATGAATATTTAACATTTTGTTTTTACCGTATCTAAATTCACTTGACAGCTTCGTGGCCACTGGTTCAGGCTTCAGTGCAGGAATACAGGATTTGCAGGAGCCACGTTGGCAGATGGTGCTGTGCTACCTGTTGGCCTTCATCTTTGTCGTGTTGGCCCTCAGCAAGAGTATCAAGACTTCTGGCAAGGTACAAGAACAACAATCTATAAACTGTGGTCTTATGTTTTACTCATTTGTTTAATCATTCAACCAAACTAAGTCCAAAAATGGTTCCAACTATCCACGATTTTGTTATTGTCTTGCGACCGCAAGTCGGATCACAAGTAGAAGTAGTCAAATCCTTTGGACTACCAAGCCAGCAGAATTTTGCAGTGGTTACCAAACAAAGTTAACATACCTCGGTTATGTTTCTTACAAATAAATCCCAGATATTTTCATAAACCATGGTGGCAGTGGAAAAGACATTTGTCTTTATCACTAGTCCACTTTTGAGTGTAGATTAGAAGCCTTGATTAGGCAGTTGCTTGGTACTGGCCACTGGTCAGTGTCATTTCTTCGAAATTCTGGCTTTGATCCACTATTTAAACCTTGCATGTCTCTAATTACCCTGTCTGAAGACAAAGCAACAGCAAAAACTTGATTTAGAAGAAAAGATCTTTTTTATTCACAAACCTTTCTATTTCAGGTTGTGTATTTCACTGCCACATTCCCTTATGTTGTTTTAATCATCCTCCTGATCCGTGGTGTAATGTTGGACAACTACTTGGAGGGAATCAAGTTCTACATCACTCCTGATCTGGAAAGACTCAGGGACTCTGGGGTATATATTAAGATACTTTCAATTTAGACATTTTTAAATATTGATAATGGCTTATGGATCTTGCAGTAATTACTATTAAAGATGCATGCAAGACTTTCACCTGGTCTTGGCAAATTCCTGTACTTGGAATGGTTAATATGTGAAGCTAGAATTAAGCACAATAAATCTGGCAGGATTTCCCGAGATTTTTAATGTGTTCTAATTTATGGATAGATAAATCGCCAAAACCCTTTGGGGAAAAAAAAATTAAATACATATTCGTTTCAGAGGTCAGTTTTACCACTAATGCTGCTGACAAGACAACTGCCAATTGTCTATGTCTATCTCCATCCAACCATTAAAGAATTTTCTTTATTCTATGATAGGTATGGAAGGATGCTGCTGTACAGATCTTCTTCTCTCTGTCCGCTTCCTGGGGAGGTTTGATTGCTCTGGCTAGTTACAACAAATTCCACAACAATTGTGTGAGGTGAGCAAAAGTTTGTGGATTCCTAAGTAATTTTGGAGTATTTCTAGAAAAAGAATTTCAAATGCGTGCATAGTGCCATTAAAAGGAATATACAAAATACAGCCCGTACAAAATACAACCCAAGGAAGCTAGAAACTTTCCAAACAGAAAAAGAAAAATCTTCAAAAATCTAAAATCCCATCACAAATGTTTTAGACTACACAAATACCAAATGCATGAGTTTACAAAAAATGCATATTTTGTCAACAGGGACACATTGACTGTTGCGTTTGGTAACTGTCTGACCAGTGTGTTTGCCGGATTTGTGATCTTCTCTTACTTGGGGTACTTATCAGCGCTGATCGATGTACCTGTTAGTGAGGTGGCGAAGAGTGGACCATCTCTGACCTTCGTAGTCTACCCCTTCGCTGTAACAACTCTGCCTGCTGCTCCATTCTGGGCTATCCTCTTCTTCATGATGTTGATCACTCTCGGTGTGGACTCTGAGGTAATTTCACAAATGAAAAAAAATGTAATTATGTTCAAATAGTTGATTCTTTGGTATTGATCAAATAAATCCTAGCAATGCCGAGATTCAGCGGAAGTCAAAACAGCCCGATGGGAGTTAAACCTACATTCTTTAGGAATATGTCATTTTAAGTTTGTCATGAACCTGAAGTACAAATCAAATACTTTTACAATTTTCGTTGTAGTTTGTGTTGGTGGAGACCGTGATTACATCTCTCTTGGACAGATTCCCCAAACTGAGAAACTACAAGCTCCTGACTGTCATTGGAGTATCATCTGTTTTCTTCCTCCTCGGTTTAACAATGACAACAAATGTAAGGAAAACTGAATTATGCTTTGAAATTGTCTCTTTAACATTTGTAAAAATCTTATCAGAATAAATTTCAAAAGATTTTCAAAATTTAAGAAACTGGTTCTATCTACTCAAAGTATTGGAGATTTCTATTAACCCTGATTACTATTCAAGGGATGGGAATATTTTAACATATGAGAACTATGTAGATTTACTTTTAAAAAAGATCTATAAAAGTAGGATACTTTTCAGCTGAAATGGATGTAAAATAATTGATCACTGTATTTTCATCATAGGGTGGAATCTACATGCTGGAAGTGATGGATACGTACTCAGGAGGATGGAACATCCTTGTCATCGCTATCTGTGAATGCATTTCTATCGGTTGGATCTACGGTAAATATGCCAGGCTTTTCTCTAACAGATCTACAATACTCATCCTGAGTCCCAATCACTGAACATTTTCCAAAGATTTTGCCCCGACCCTTTTGGTTAAATTTTGATGTTGATGATGAAATGTATATATTTTTGAAACTTGCACTTGATTTTTTCCATTTCTTTTTACAGGAGTGCGACGATTTATGAATGACATTGAATGCATGATTGGAAAGAGCTTTATATTCATGGTGCTGAAGTACTGGTGGGCTTTGTGCTGGTGCTTGCTTACCCCACTTTTGTGTGCTGTAAGTATCTTTTTCAGGTGACTATACCTGCATTTTTTGAGTTTATTAAGGTTGAATCTACACGGGTCTGCATTTTGACGGCTTGTCATAGATAGTGGTTTATATAGGACATCAGCTGACACCAGTAAATCTAGGGTTTCCAATTAGGGCAATGCTCAAGAGGTATTGGATATAAAATATGCAAGAAATCCAAGTTAACTTAAGTAAATGGATGGATATTTTAACCGAAATCGACAAAAGCAAATGAACTGTAGATTAAACAATTTTCCCGCGTTTGTTAAAAAAATTAAATGGCATATTTGTAAGGCATGTCAGGCTCCCATTAAAATAAGAGACTTAATAGCAAGATCTAGTTTTTTAATTTCCATAAATATGTGGCTTTCAAAGAAGAAATTCCTGATGTACTAGTTAAAATGTACCAGATAAGGACATTCGTTTGCGTAGTATATTCATATTGATGCATCTGGTTGATATTGTTTGACTATCGGAGTAAATCAAATTTATCAATATACAAATGAAGATTAAATATCTGATACAATCCTCTTCATCAGACCGATGATTCAATATCAAAGTTTGATGTGATAGTTGACAGAACAGTATTCGAAATATTTAATAAATGTTAAAAATGTTTCGCTTGAAATAATTTATTGAAGGGTCTATATTTTTGCTTTGATTTATTGACATGATTCTTGATCATTTGACCTTTCAGGCCATCATCATTTTCTCTTGGGTCGATTACAAGAGCATGGGAGCAGGCTCTAATGGAGATAAGTATCCAGTGTTTGCAGATGTCCTTGGATGGCTGATGACCCTACTGGTTATCATCTGTATCATTGGAACCGCCATCTACCAGCTGGCTATCACACCAGGAAGTTTTGCAGAGGTAAGTACTCGAGATGCCTTGTGTAAGAGACGGGGTGGAATATAGTTAAACCAGCCTGTCTGGCTGCATCGCGTTTGTTAGATTGAATCTTGTAATATAACTGACCTTCAGAATCCATAAAACCGTAAGAATTAAGTTCTGTACTGCAAGATTTTGTTGTATAGGTTTTTATCGATCTCTGTTTCTGTATCATTTCACTAAAATTAAAGAATTTATCCTGTCTGCGTAATTTCATTGTTATAATATTTATTATGACATTTCACAAGTCTTGAATGTATCGTGATGTTAAACACGCAGGTAGAATCAATGTGTGCAAGGTGGTTATATAGCTGTTCAAATCCTTTAGCATCTCCGATAACGGTTGAGTAACCTTGCAATTTTCAATAATTCAGAAGCATGGATCATAGTCATACAACAATTGTTCCCTCTTCAGGTGAATACCCAAGGGATGGGAAATATCACTTTTATGAATTCTTGAAGTCACCCAACCAGATCAATTATATTGAACATCAATGTATAGAATTGCTTTGAAAACCTTCAAGTAAAAAGCACACGTGATATTGAAGTTTTTGTGGAGAGATGTTATTTTGACTTAAAACATCTTGGTTATCTTGGATTTGAACTTTTTTCAATTAGATTTTTAGGTGAGCCTTTAAATTTTGTATAATTTTAGCGCTTCAGGAAGACCTGCTCTCCTTCTCCTGAGTGGGGTCCTGCTCTCGTGAAGCACAGGGAAGAATGTGCTAAATACACGGTGGCTGAGGGATATGATCCTTCATTTGTAGTGGATCCATGGAACAATACTCCCTTGCCTGCAAAATCGGATCTTCCGGTAAGACAACCAGCAACAATTTTTTTTCCACTTTAAGATATTACATTTTTGACACAGATCTCAAACTAACATTTTCATTTTAATACTAATATGGTATTCAGTTTACAGTGAATTTGTATATAAAAGCTGCAAAGAGCCAAATATAAACAGCCATGAGATCTTTATTTTAAAGGTTTTCTAGTTACATGCCAAGATTGCAGAATCGCTAATTTTCATTGTTCATTGATTTCCAAATTTCTAGATTTGGTGACATGCTTTTTGATAGCAGTATCAATTGCCCAATATGCTCCTACTTCATTTTCAAGGTGAAAGAATACCAGTAGTTTTTATTATTCAATAAGCCCATTTTGGGTACTCAGTTAATAATTCTGCCCTCTATTGCTTTTAATTAGAATAACTCATTGTCCTTAGATGATGACCTCGCCCCCTAACTTTCAATCGGAGATATGTTGGCCCCATTGACTTACTGCAAAATAGTGAAATTCCTTGGTAAAAATTGAATGTAAATATATAGGCCTCGGGAAGCCCTGAATGAAACGTGTTATATAATACTGTTGCTGTCCAAAATTGAAATGGTCTGAACTCCAATGAATGAAAGGATTTATTTAAAATCGGTGTATGTGGCTGTTGTGTTTCAGATGACCACAACGGGTGGTAATCTCAATGTAGGCTATGTTCCATGTCAGGACATGCAGTACAAACCTAATGTAAAGTTTAATTACAGTATCTTTCTAAACTTTTAGCTTTGTTTTAGTGCAGATGTCACATCATAGAGCTTCAGGAAATTAAACTCCAGTTTTGCTTAAAAATTTATTTGAGAAATGCATTTTGAATTTTCTGATTTGAATACTTAAACAAGTATTTTCCGAAGACTTACAATTCAAAAATGTCAAATTATTTAAGAAAATGAGCCACTTCAATTTTACAATCAATGGATAGGCATTTGATTTCCTTTTCTCACTGGAAAATAAGTCTTCCTCCTTGAAACTAAGAAATTGGCATTTGGCTGATTTACAAAATTGGCAAAAGATTGTGCATGTAGCTCTATGATTGGAAAACCTGCTTAGCCCATGAATTCTCCATACTTGTGCCTTACCCTGCACTCCTTAACTCTCTTTAAGCTTCATATTATCGGATCAAACATGGTTATTATCCCCTGAGAAATGCGTTTGCGGGGGTTATTAAATTGGGCTCTGTCCGTCCAGCCGTCCGTCAATCCAGGTGTTTTTCCGGGCTATAACTTCGAAACCGTTCAATTCAACTTCACAAAACTTTCAGTATAGATTAAGTCATTGCCCTAGTTGTGCCTTTTGCTATTGTCGACATTTCACTTATATTTTTTTTCTGTTACCATGGAAACATAACCCGAAAACACCAAAAGAGGGCTTTTCCGGGCTGTAAATTCCAAATTGTTCCACTCAACTTCACAAAACTTTCTGCACATATTAAGTGGGTGTCCGATTTGTGCCTTTTGCTATTGCAGTCATTTCACTTTATATATTTTTTTGCTGTTTCCATGGAAACAGATAACACAAAAAGAGGCTTTTCCAGGCTATATCTTCCAAACTCTTCCACTCAACTTCACAAAACTTTCTGCACATGTTAACTTAGTGCCACAGTTGAACCTTTTGCTATTAACAGCATTTCATTTTTTCAATATTTTTTCAGTTTTTGCAAAAATATAGTTAAACCTCAAAAGAAGGCTTTTTCTGAGCTACAACTTCGAGGCATTGGCCCCTCAAGAGTGATCATTATCATTATTGTTACATGTTTTCCATCTCTTACATAAAAAATCTTTTGTTGCCTGAAGATAGCCGTTATGCCTGAAAACGTTATTGAAACGCATTTGTTGTGTTGATTCTATATTTTCAATTATCTCTATATATATCTATAATGTTGAAGTTGAGGAGACGCGAGTTTATTTTCTACTAGTGTTTTCACTCTAATAGACCTTCACGTGCAAAGTACTGATACATAAGTGTGTGAAGTCTCAAATTATTACAGTGCTATATATAGCATATTTGGGTTCCATACCAACACCTGTGCGCGGGGGATAATGCCACGCTTTGCGGCATCTTGTTTGTAGTAGGGAAACAGCAGTTGTCTTATCTCGGATCTGAAATAACCCAAGATTAGATAACAATACTGCATTAAGATTTCCTTTTCCAATTAAGACTGGATATATACCAGTAGAGAATATTTACATTAAATCCTTGGAAAATTTTGAAGGATGCCAGACATTGCTTTAATCCTGCTGTCTCTTGGAATTCAAAAAGATCTTTCAAATTTGAATTGCTTAAAATTGGACTTGTTCTGCTGGTTTTCTTCCGAGTTAAGTTTCTGCAATTGGCTATCAGGTATGTCTGCCACAGCTGACTTAACAATCGATCTATAGATAATGTCATTTGCAGTATTCTGGTACCGTATGGTTTAAAGTAGTTGCGATGGATGACAATTTTAGTGGCTTGAGCTCTGAAGAGATATAAGATGTAGTAAAACGTATGACTCTAACAACAAACTAACCTTATTTGCACATTTTAGATGTAATAAAACTTGATATACAGTGCAAAAATATTAATCATATTATACTGGTTTTGGAGTCCAGATGCCTCATTAGAGAACATTAGATTCTTAAACTACACTATAAATTAACTTATCGAAACATATTTTTTAATGTTGCACACAAACAGGTATGACATCTAAAACAGCAGGTAATCGGTTGAAATTAATCAACAGGTATTTGGGAAGCTTGTTCCAGCTAACAGCATGGCCAATATTTATCTGAAACAAAATTTGTACAAGATTGTTCATCCGAAATGCACCTGACAATTTCCTTAGCATGCTCTGTTGAGTTTAAATAGATGTGCACCTGTTACCTTTTACAAAATAAGACATTGTCTAGCAGTTTATTAGATTTTGAAATTTAAACTTTGTTTACAATGTGTCATTGTTGTAAGAGATGCAGATTACAGGTATTACAGGTATGTAAAACCATCTACGTAAGTTGTAAGATTTGTTAGAATATTTGAGGTAGCATATAGTCGCCGCCTTGTCAGTCAAGGGCGCAATTTTTCCCACAGTTAAGCAAGGATCATGCAACTAGGTGTATACATTGGTCCTGCTAAGGGGACATGCAGGGGACATGAAGTGTACCATTACTCCTAAATTAAAGAGTTATTGCCCTTTGTTAAAATTGTTTCATGAGCATAGCTTTGCTTACATTAAAATCTAGGATCTTGCAACTTGGTGTATACATTGGTCATACTAAGAATGTGCAGTATACCAATCTTAGGGCTTCACAATCCCTTGATTACAGAATTACTGCCCTTGTTACAATAGTGTCCAACAGTCTTTTCAGAGCATTCATCAGTTTCAATGGTACTCGTTTGTTCAGATTCGGATGTCTCCTGTCATAACTATAATGCATATTGCATTAATCCATCTTTATCAACTTTAAATATTAAAGCTGTCTAAAATCAAAATCGGAAAAATCAAGGCTCTTACAAATTTAAAATATTAAAGCTATTTCTGTTTCAATATTTGTCAATTACTTTGGTCATTATAAATGCATTAATCCTGCAATATTAGCTTGGATGACCATTTAACCCAGTCATCCAATAGCTAATTGAGGTGGGCTTATTGTGATTCATTGTGTCAATAGCTAGTAATTGTTTTCATTAGCCAAACTTCATCAGATGATGGTTTTCAGATCGCCTAGTGTCCATGGTCCATAACCAATCCTTTATCACAATTTCCGAGTGTACTAAGTACAGTAATATGGAGGGATATTTCAAAACTTCAATATTGACGTATTTCCCATGGATTTTAATTTGTGTCCCATATTTGGGAGATTTGTCATTGAAACAATACTGACAGGTGGCCATCTTGGATTTTTGACAGCTGAATTTTATTAAGTACTGGAAAGAATTCTCAGTGTATAGTTAGGTTCTAAAGTTGTAGCCAATGATAGGGTTAGGATTGGCTGGTATATATGATGGGGATTCTGAAGCTTATTTGGGTTGCAGAAGATTGGCACAATGAATTTGAATACTTTAGCCTTTGAAAAATGGATTGAATTTTTGAAAAATATGTAATATATTTCAAAAAATATTTTGAATGTTTTTCCTACATTACTTTTAATAAGTCGATAATTCATGATGTAATTGATTCAAATGATTTAAAAGTTGTGAATACAGAATGGAATTAGAATTATCAGCTATTAGCTATGTTGGTTTATAATAAATGATCCAGGTCACAAGAATAATAACCATTCATAAATTGTATTTTACAGATGACCCAGAAGGGAGGTTATAACAATGATGGGTATGATGCAAGGCTGTAGGAGTCTCATAAGGAAGATGGATCAACTACTCAAACAAGCACATGACAGAAATTATCAACAAATTTCTCCATGTTTGTAAAAAAAGGTTGCATAATATACTGTGTTCTAACACCATCAAAGGCTAAACTCCATGAAAGTGTAGGGATTTCAGAAATGGCTGTCAAGGTGAAAATGTCATCAGACCATTGCTACAATGATATTGTCAATATTGTCCCAATTATGACAGAAATGAGTAGCTTAAGACATTTTACCTAATACTCCACTTGCAGCAACATACATTTTAAGATACCCTTAACTTAGTGATGGCAATGAGTTTTACACGGATTGCTCAAAGGAATTTTCATTGTATTGTGGTTGTGTACATGTATACATTCCAGAGCTGCCATTGGTAGTGGATAAGGTTTTGGATCAAAGATTTACGCTTTATACAAGTCCCAACATTGTGCCAACTTATATATTCTGCAAATGGTTATATGATGGGAAGAGATTTTATTAACATTTTGTGATATATTTTATAATCTTTCATATATATCTAAATTAGTCGCCGTCATGCTTGTAAGAAACTAACATATTATAAACAGACTGTCTCCTCACAATTTGCCACCTCTTTGAAAAACAAAACATTAAAATTTTATGTTTGCAGGAAGGTCTAGTTAAATAATCTTTTACAAAAATATTTGCAATATTTTAACAATATGAGATCCAATTTATTTTAGATTAAAGATCATTAAACATTTTAACTTGTCATGAAATTCAAATGCACATTTTAAAATTATATTTTTAAGAGGTGTTGTGCAGAAAGTACACATTTTATATATTATATTCAATATTTTTGTACATAATAAACAATTGTATATATGATTGTTTTCGTTATTTATTTTTTATACATATCGTCCTAAGCCTGTGTTCGTCCATGCGTAAACAATTTATCACTATTTCTAGAAGTACTTGATGGAGGTTATTAAATTTTGAATGTAGGTTCCTTTTGCTCCCTAGTTGTGGCTGGTTTGAGTTTGGTACTTCTCGGACAAAAGCACTGAAGCAAGTAATGAATGGATAGCTCTCAAATTTCATATGCATGTTCCCTTTGGTCTCCTTGTGCTTTTAATTTTGGGACCAGAAGAAACATAACTGCTTCCAGACAGCCATTTTCAATTTGGCAGGTAAAGATTATCATCGCTATTTTTTTGCAACGGAATGATCAAATGTTTAGAGAGCAAAAATAAATCCGACTTTCAAAAGATCAGGCAATGGTGGGTGCTAAGATCACTTTAGATCTCATTTTGTTTTGTCGGTTTTAAGTCAGCATTGGATAGATTTGCTCAACATTGAATCTTGAGTATTGAGTTAGTGTCCATTATATTTAAGGGCATATGCTACCTTACATAGCCATCCTCAAATTGTTTTGAGGCATTATTAAAAATACTGACAGCTATATGTAGAAAGTCAACAGTATTTACCAGTGTCTTTATGCACACAACATGGAAAGTTTCCTGAAGTATACATGCTGGCCAGAATTTCAACAAGATAAATTTGTGCTTTCGCATCATTTGAATGCTTTAAACCTATTTGAAATGCTGCACTTGATTTATATCTCCATTGAAAAGGAGATGAGCAAAGATGCATATAGCCATTATCATCAGTAACAGTGTGGTTGGTACATCAAACAGAAGCTGTTATGTGGAAGCCATCTTGTCCAACTGGAAAACAAATGTGGTCTTTGTTTCTGGGTTTAAAAGAAACTGCCCTGGGTTTAAAAGAAACTGCCCAACATGTACATTATTTCCCAAATTTTGACCAGTCAGAACTAAGTTGTCCTTTCTGCTGAGATGTCTGAGAAGCACTTTGTCAAGGCCTTGAAAGTCATTGTACTGAAGCTGTGACTGTCTGTTAATATAGAAATCAAATTTGATACCAAGTTGCTGTAGTATACTTTTACAATTTGTTTATTTCAGATTCTTTTGTCAAAGCCAGACTTTGAAAAACACTTGCATCTTGCAAACATTGCCCGTAGATTGTAGTTCTGGTATGAGAGGTGAGATGTTTGTCGATCACTAGAAGCACATCAATAACATGAACGGGAAAAAATAGCAAATACAGCAACAAAATAAGAAAAAAGAGTTTGACCAGCAAAAATATAGATTTCTAGCGTCTAAGGTTTACAAATGTTGGACCAGAATATTTCTGCATCCGATGCAGGGCTACACCACGTGCAACGATGACATAAGAGCGCAAGTGCAGAAATTTCAGTCTACGCCGGTAAGGTTTCTCGGTTCAGGTTGGAAATCTTGCAAATACACATAACATATACATGAAAAATAGTCAAAAAGTAAATATATTTATAAACTAAACATTTACATTAATAGTAGAGAGATGAAATTTGTGTAAATCAAAATTTCCTCTGATTTCTGACATTTGATTGTCATGGTTACCTACTGAAAAAATGCTAAAACTGCAAAAATACTGCTAATTCTAACCTAACACTACAACTTCTTAGAAAAAAATAATTCTGAACACCTCTTAAAATCAACATTGTCGGGTAACAAAGTACTTACATTTCAGCAAATTCCAACTCGAAAATCTTTAAACAAAACACTATGAAAATTTCACTTCCTGTAAAGCTAGTTTTTGGTGCGTAGACACGGATTCGAGACTGCACAAATAGTAATCTCCAACACAAAGCTGAAATATTACGAAAAAAATGAACCCCACATTGTCCACTTAAACACGACAAGACTAATTTTAGCACGGATCTATTTTTTTCAATTTTGATTAAAATCTTTATAATGGGGTAATCTAATGAACAAAAAAAAATCACCATGGCCACACCAAGAAACTGTTCTGCTACCTCACGATTCCTTTTCTCCGCCATATCATCTTTAACCTTTTATCGGAGAGCTCCGTATGAGGGTATGTAATTCAGAAGAAAGGCAATTATTTCGCGATATCCGCACTAAATTCCAATCCAAGATTTCCGGAGTTATAAACATTTAACAAACGTTCATTTATATAGTACTAATATGAAATGGGCACTGCCCAAAAGCGAGCGCAAGTTGACCAACAAGATTCACATTGTGAACTGCTGGATTCATGTCTGCACCGACATGTGTTTTTAAAATTTATTTGATATTTTTGTATTGAGATTTAACAAAACATTGGCACATATACATGTACCGATGAATCTTCATCTTCTTTTAGAAAACATTGCATTATCATGATCAGGCGGTGGTTTGGTGACGCTGTTGGAAGACTTGTCTTTCACCTAACCGTCTGGGGTTCGATTCCCTGAAGGGATATGGGTTTCCCCCCCCCCCCCCCCCCCCCCCCAGTTGTGATTTATATAAGTTGATATGAATGAAGCATACAACCATACAACGAGAAGGCAGGCAAAAAAGAACAAAGCAATCTGAGACGACAAGATAACGCAAAGTGTGACATTATTCCCCGCGTTCAGCTGTTTCAAAGAAAGACGCACAATATCTTTATATATGTCAATATTACACCGACAAGTTTAATTTCTTTTTGTTATCTTTAATTTTTCCATACAAGTATTGAAATGAAGAACTTCTTCTAGACTACTAGCTTGATGCCTGTACAGCTTTCAGTACCGTGTAATTACCTCGAACGCTTTAAGAGAACTGGTCTGAAAAAAACTTAACTATGTGATTTGGCCTATCTGTTTCGATGGTAACCGAAAAAGAATTTAAATGGAGAACTTCCATATAGCTAGATATACCACTAGCTTGATAAGTGTAGTACGTTTTGAATAATAGTCTTGGACGGTTTCAGAGCACTTTGCCAAAAAAAACTGAAATTTTTGATGAGGGTTATCTGTTTCCATGATAACAGAAAAAATTAACTTACCTTACCTAAAATATACAGACAGTTTTGTGGAGTTGAGTGGAATGGTTTTGAAGTTGTAGCCAGCAAAGGAAACCGTAATTTTGCGTTTTGACTCTGTTTCCGTGGTAACAGAAAAATATAAAAGATGAAATGTCGTCAATAGCAAAAGTTGTAGCTTAAAGAAACCCTTGGACGGACGGACTGACAAAACGGCGACTACACGCTCCACGAACATAATACAAATACACAAATCTGACAAAGAATTATTTACCCATTATATTTTTGGATTCAATCTCAGTAATTTTTCGTTTTTGGGTTTGTGATAGGTGCGACGTCATGCAGGAATAGTTCACGTGATATAACTTGACAAAATGGCCGCTCCAAAAAGCACAAAGCTCTGGAAACGATGGCGAGACGATAAACTATAGTTCTTTGCAACTGATTTACATGGACTTTAATATTGGATCGTTATAGTTGATATCTCATGATATCTGTGAGCACTGTTTCATTTTACTGATAAAATGATTTTATAATCAAGCTAGGAGACACATTCCAAATAATATGTGCCGAGTCATGAAATAATTCACATATATATAGGGCTGGATCCAACGTGTCACAGATGCAGTCCTTGTAATGTCCTCTAAAGTACTTTGTTGGGTCAACGTCCTTTACTAGTTATAGCGATATACACGTACTGTCCTTTCAGCCTGTTCACGCATTGCTGCACGAAAATGCCGTGACTGAAATGAATACTGACGGTAGCTGTCATCCCGTCTTAAATTACATCAACAATATTGTCGGATGGCTAGGTAGGTTATGTCGGCGCCCGCTGCTTGTATAACGTTTAACAGGCCAATTATAAACGCAATTCAAACTTTCTATACCATTCAAGGTCGTTCCGGATCTTTGCTTTTGTCGTGACTTCACAAACAACATTCTCGAACGTTACCGCAAATGGAGTTGTCCGACACAACTTGAAAGGATCAACTTTGAATGACAATCTTAAACAACATAACGTACTTTTTTATAATATATATATATATATTGGCTACAAATCCATCCTCGAAATATTATGATTTGCTTATTACTACAAGGTACTTGCACATGAATTCTACTGGAAAACAGTTGCATGGGAAAGGAAAAAAGACTCCCATCCAGTTACTGAAACATTAGATTAAATACATAACGATACGGATTATTACTAGCCAGCCAATTTGATTTTACGTGACATGCCATCAATTTTATTCCGTTGCTTTTGTAGAGAGATACAGTAGTGGTTAATATCCCGTCAACAGTTGGTCATTTTGATGTCCAATCAACAATAAGTAGTTTTGATGTCCCATCAACAGTGGGTAGTTTTGATGTCCTGTCAACAATCAGTAGTTTTGATGTCCCATCAACAATCGGCAGTTTTGATGTCCTTTTAACAATCAGTATTTTGATGTCCAATTTACAATAAGTAGATTTGATGTCCCATTAACAGTCGGTTATTTTGATGTCCCATCGACAGACGGTAATTTTGATGTCCCATCAACAGCCGGTAATTTTGATGTCCCATCAACAGCCGGTAGTTTTGATGTCCTATTAACAGTCGGTTATTTTGATGTCCCATCGACAGACGGTAATTTTGATGTCCCATCAACAGCCGGTAATTTTGATGTCCCATCAACAGCCGGTAGTTTTGATGTCCTATTAACAATCAGACATTTTAATGTCCCATCAACAGTCGGCAGTTTTGATGTCCCATTAACAATCAGTCATTTATATGTCCCATCGACAGTCAGTAGTTTTGATGTCCCAAGAACAATCAGTAGTTTTTATTTCCCATTAACATTCAGATGTTTTGATATCCCATTAACAATCAATATATTTGATGTCCCAATAACAATAAGTAATTTTGATGTCCCAAAAACA